ATTCTTAGAAAATTTCCACAGTCGAAGATAACTGCCGTCGCGTCTATTCTAACCGCGTGAACCCAAGCCTGCCGGGAGTTAATAAAGTTGACAATGATCGCAAGTGGGTCTCTGACCTTTTGAATGTAATCTTCACATGCAGGCTTGTAATCCGGGTCTGTCTGCTCAGGACGTTCGACGACGCCTATATCGCGTTGGTTGGACACGCGCTCTGGAGTCTTTTGGTGGCGAACTCGCTGGCTACGGCGCGGACCCGTCATTTGCGGTAACGTCCACGGAACCTCTAAGGCGTCCGGCGGCGGTGATCTCTCGCGAGAATCGCCGCAGTAATCCGAGTCCAAGCGCCATGGGAAGACATCTATGGTGTCGAGGCGCTCCATATCCTCCATCACGGGCAACGCATCCGTACAGAATACCATACAAGACGTCAACTGCTGCGTATGCTTGCGGAGACGTTTCAATGTGTCCTTGTTTTTTCGATCCAAAGCCTCGAACTCGTCTGGGGAGGATCAACGACGTGCAGCACAAGATTCTGAGACGCGTATTCCTCGACGATAGGGCCGAACTCCGTGTGGGCAAGAGCATGCAGCCATTGTAGCAGTGACATCAGGTCGGGCTGATGGGGATGGAAGACAAGGCTGGAAGCAAGCTGAGTCACCGCACATTCTATGCCATCCATTCTGTATCTTATAAGGGATCGGGCGTCTGCCCCCTTCGCTGCGGTATAGCCGGCTCTGGTAATGAGTAACTGGGCATCTTCAACCGCGTCAAGCTCCTCCGAAACACTTTCCAGGACAGCGAGCAGTTCAGCATGCAAGGACGGAAGTATTTTCACGTGCTTAAGCATTAGGCTTTCCGAGAGGTGGCGATCTAGGAAGTGCAGAGGTGCGGTTGGCTTCGGTGCAGGCAGAGATCCTTTCCGTTCCACGGATGGCGGATTGTACTCGAAGAGTTTCTGGCGAAGCTCGTGGGGGCCTTTCCGTGAAGTGGAGTTTGAGTGCGACATCTCCTAGTCGTGTGGTGGCGACGAAGACGCGACGGTTGAAGGGCAAGGAAAGCCAACTATTGTGTGGGCCGATTGTGGCTCTGCCGTTTTCGTGATCATCACGATCTATTGTCTTTCCAAGGTCTTCCCTTGATTAGATCTTCCTGGCTTTACATACATGCACTGCTAGGTCGCTGACATTGCCGATAAGAAGAGGCTTTTTCGCGGTGCGTGAGAGGACGGGATTTCTGCGAGGATGGCGTAGGGTGTGTCATCTTGCTTCAGCGAAGTGGCAATGAAGACATGAAGGGCGAACGGAAGCCAACCATGATTGTACCTGCATGTATACCGGTGAGTCGGACCGCGCGTGGCTGTGCTTGTTTCGGCCGGCAGACGAACTTTCAGCAACATTTCCATTGCTTCGTGTATTACTTACTGGTTTACGACGTGGTCAACGTTAATACAGTCTCTCCCATGAGCAAAGGGTGTTAGCTCATGTCCACTGCCTTCCCCTCTATGTTGCTCCGACAACAACTCCGCCTCTTTCCCTTGCCATTGCCTGCAAGCACTTTTACAGTTGAATATTGCTTACGCCGCCTGACAGAAGCCACAGCAAAATCAGGATGATTACCATCTTGCCGCGTCCGTCTTCTCATGATGTTGTGGGTCCATGCACCAGGAGCTATCCCTCTTGCGAACCGACTCTAATAGCACATCCTAATCGTCTACATCATCTGTACGTGGTCTCCGCCAACTTCGACTTCAAGTGGACACTAATGTTGCTTTCCTCAGCTTCTATTCACGCTCGTAATTACGCGCCATGCCGCCACGAAACAGGAATGATAATATGAAGTTCCCCTGCATTTACAGCAATGAGGAGGAGCTCGCCGCCACAAGAATATAACTCGCACATTGGGTCCCACTCTGAGTCCATCCCTACAGACTTCTACGTCGAAGAGGAACATGGCTATGGCGCTCAGCCTTTCTAGTGACGCCGAGTCCGACCAGCTTTACTTTCCACCACCCAGACCACTATGCGGATAATGTTGATATCAAAGGGGGCGTCAAGTCTGAGGAAACCTTGACGCCCTTCTTGCGGCACGCATTTTGCCCCAAGTTCGACTCGATTTTTCAATGCCACAATTTCTCGGCAAAGGAGATTGGAGACTTGGGGCGGCGTTGAGCGAGCACATCGTCGAAGCGCACAACTACTATCGAGAGCGCTTGCGCCTCAGTGTTGGTTGCCAAGGACCTGGGTCGACAATGCGGGAATCGGACAGGCTGTGACGAAGCCGGCTACCACCTGCACTCCCAGGAAATTGCGGACCGATTTTATCTCGCTGTATCCAGTGATAGTAATACCCAACCCATCTGCCATGCTCCCCCCCCCAACTCCAATTTCCCGCTGTACAGTAAATCCCTCGCGAATCCTTCAAGTGTCATCCATCCAGCGGCTCCGAGCGATTGTCGGTCTCACCGTCGTTGATGGGGAGCCAGGCCGAGACCACCAATGCGACTTTCTTGCTTACACTTCCTCATTGCCATTTCTGTGGCACGCGGACTACCCTGGCGCACTCTCAAATTTCAACAATCATAACCCAGACGAAAGAGACCCTTCGCTTGGTGAACGACTTACGCCTTGACTTGCCAGAGTTTATCAGAAACGAGGCACGGCAAAGGTTACCATCTGCAGCAAGCGAAGCCTAGGCGAATCGACGCTCATCAGCAAAGTTCTTAGGCAACTTTCGCTTTTGGCTTGACATGTGTTGAAGCGCGCTTCTTCCCTACAGTTTTTGATTCGCATTTTCTTCACCTTTGGTTCTGGTATTAGGTAGCCCGTTTTGTTAATACGAGCAAGAATGTGTTCGCCTCGAAGACGCCACAGAACTAGTCCGACGATCGAAGGTACACGACCCCGCAACATTATAGTAAAAGCGAAACGACATATAGGATGTGGAATATGGAGAAGAGGACTAAGTATCAAGAGTAGTACATATCATACACATAGACAAACTAGGTAGTACCGATGGAGTATAGTAATGATACAGTAGTATAGAGTACTGAGTAGCAGTGCAGACCAAAGACGATACAAAATCGAACTCGACAAATCAAGACGACAACCGACGACGCGGATCCCGCTCTCCACCACCACCACCACTCCGTCTGCTGTCATGCAACACACATCGCAGACTAGCTCCGTCTCCAATGTTATAATCCTTCAGGCAGCCATGCATCAATGTCTGCCCACAATACACGAGCGAAAACTCATTCAGCTTCTTTCCGATGATGCCGGCGTACGACTCTACGAGCTTCGCAACGTCGGTGATCTCGCTTACACTGCAGCGCTTGGGCTCAGGCGTAAACGGGGACGAGATGTAGATGTGGTACTGTAACTCCGGGGGTCCAGGCGGCAGGGGCTTGGCCGGCAGTGACTGGGGCGGCATAGGCAAAGGCGGCGTTCTGGGGCCAGGGGAGGAAGCGCGAGACGAAGACGCGTTGCAATTAGGCTCCGAATCACGTCGGTGGTTGTCTCGCGCGTCGCAAAGCGGATACCGTTGCGATGTCGATGGATGGTTGGATTGTATGACTGGCGACCGAGGCGTCGACATTCCAGGCTGGCGCGACGCGTTGTTGGGCTCTGGGCCTCGGTCATATGGCCGATGTGGTGGTGGAGGATGCGAGGGATTACGGGGGAGCGAGGTGGTCGGCGCGAGAACGAGTGTTCTATTTTCACATCTTGGGCTTGAGCACCATTGTGATGTGCTGCCGGAGGCGGGTTAGAGGATATGACCGGAGAGCGAGGCGTAGCCATGCCGGGTAATGTATTCGAGTATGACGGTGGCGAGTTGTCGAATACTAGCAAAATATGAGTTGTAGGCCGAGGAGTGTGGTAATATATGCGTACAGTCTCGTCCTATAAGGTCGTCTAGACTGTCGCGCGGCGTATTCAGCAGCTGCGATACGGACACCGTGTGGACCAGCGGAAGCACATACGGCCAGCTTTCCCGAGTTACTTCAACGGGCTGGCCCTCGCATTCTTCCAGTCGATCCGTGTGGAGGACGAGGCGTTCTTTTGGGATGGAAGGGTAATAGCTGGCGATAATCTCGACTGCTTCCTAAAACCATGTGTTGGAACATGAGGCGAAAAACGTGAAGATAGAAGCGGACGCACTTGGAAGGAGTTGGATAACGTCTTTTTGGGGAGCAAGACACGCCGTGATCCGTCTGTCACGACGAGAAACTTGACGTCGCGCGCGTAGATTGCGGATGGCGGCGGCGGCGCCTGGGGTGCTGAACTGACTTTGCTCATGCAGGGTAGTGCGGTAGTATTGAAGGGGGGAGGTTTGGGAGGTAGAGGGAACTAGACGGCCAACAGGTCTCTTTAATAGTCAGGAAGGCAATCTTTGATGTGCCCAATGTCTTTGATGATGGATGTATGAGATTAGAACCATGCATGCGCACGAGACTTTTTTCCCAAGCACAAAAACCACCGATCAAAATGATGTAAACGATCGATTCCTTACTTTTGAGTGCGAATGCTCGCAGCCTCGCCAATCTGGCGAGGTGTCATGCCGCATTCTTCTACCCGGAAGGCAGACACGTTTCCGTTTTGTTGTTACTTTGTCAATGAAGTGAGGCGTTGTTGACATACAATCAAGACGGATGCGAATCCTCGAAGGAGTGGGCGATGGGGAAGCACACTTACGACTCCATTGATTCCTGCATAGAACAAGAATAAAACGCGAATCAACAAACGAAGCAAGGAGAAACTATTGAGAAATAATGCCGTGAGCACTCGAGTGAGAATCCAATTGCACTACTATCATTAGCTTGTTCTTTCATCGATAGTAGATACTTACTCATGTTAGCAATTCTGAGCCTGCACGCAGTTACCGCAACAAGCGCCACAAATTTCAATCCCGATTCCTTTTAGTGTCAAAACTACGTGAATAACTGTACTTACAACTTACAAGTTTGCTGTGTGGCGTCTTTTCCAAATTCATAATGCAAAAAATGGGGACACCCAGGATTGAACTGGGGACCTCCAGAAGAGAATTTCTTAAAGACGAGCTTCAGTCTGTTGCTCTCCCAACTGAGCTATGTCCCCATATCAATCACCCTGTCGCTGTCAATCCGACTCCGGAGATCCCTCCGAATTGGAAAGTGTGACATCGCCGTCGTGACTTGTGACAAACGCGTCTTTCCTCCCCCCATCACCGCGCCCTCTACCAGCACCACCATGTCCCAAGAACCCGAGGACGTCAAGCCAAAAATCAATATCCACATCCAGACTGATGGAGGCGACAGTGCGTCCCCGTCTCTTCCTCCCAGGGGTCGCGTTTTTTTAACATCATTGCTTTGGTAGAGATAGCCGTCATGGTTAGACGAGACACGCGCTTCGCCAAGGTCTTCGCAGCAGCAGAGGTGCGTTTAACCTATGCTACGTAACTCGTTCCACGGCTGACGGGGCTCCCGCTTTTGTAGAAGAAATTTGGTAAAGAGCCAGGCGCGTATACCCACCCCCCGGCGAGCAGTGGCGCTCGATGCTTATTGGACGCTGTATTGCAGGGACCTTCAAATTCACGTACGAGGGAAAGCGTATCCAGCCGGATCAGACGCCAGCAGAGGTGCGTTGCTGTTATCCCTCGCTACCCACACGACCGCCCATTTACCTGCGCTCTGCAAGGTCGACATGGAGGACCAGGACACGATAGATGCCCATTTGGAGCAGGTGCGCTACCACCCTCATTTTGCTCCTCCGTCTACTGACGCCTTTTCTCTGCAGACGGGCGGCGGCAACGGGTCCTGAATCCCTCCGATGTTGTTGTAAAACTAATCCCACATACTATTGTATATTCAACTTCGCGATCGGCTTTTCTATATTCATTTTGGGCATATCTATCCTTCGCGTCGGCATCCATATCGTCAAGCGTCCCAGTCACATGTTCACTGCTCCGTACCACGCCCTAATAGCACACCCCCTAGAAAACCCTTTCCCTCCGCAGTGCCCACATCCTAATAGCACACCATGCCGCAGATTGTTATCTATCCGCCACAACGAGGTGTCTCCATGAAAGACACAACTTCCACAGTTCATTCATATCCGTGCGTTTAGACAAAGAAAATCCGGTCAGGTGGTTGGACCCTTATTCGAGACAAAGACACCTGGTTCGGTTCGCGGCTGCGCGTGCATGCGGAATTTGCACGTCCGAACCTAGCCATATCTAAGTATGCGTCATGGACTAGAGCTCGTTTATCGAGACGTAAATGTAGGGAGCGTAGTTGGCGGGTTGTCCTTTCCGAGATCGCTGAATGAGGTTGTTCGCCAATCTGTGTAGGTTGTTGTGTGAGTGCGCCACAAGAAAACAACAGTTTTTCCACAAGCATGAAACAGTACAAGCTGAAAACAGATTGAATACAAAACCTACAGTAAGTATGGCCTGATGCTTCAAAATGAAAACTGGCCTAGAAGCCTCAATATTGATGAACTACATACTAGCAGAGGTAGTAGTAGTACCGGCAAGTAAGCACCTTACGAAGAATCGGAGGTGGTAAGCAAGTTGGTAGCCGGGAGATGATGTATCAGAGGCAAGACATTAAGGGCACCAGCACCTTAGGTACAACATCTGCAGACTGCACAGTTGGACGCGAGAATCCAAGCCGCGATCAAAGCGAGCGATGCGAATCGGGATGTGGGGTGAGCTCTTTGATTACCGGAAAACGGTCATGGCAAGGCCATCCGAGAATCGCACACTTTTCGGACACTCTGGGACGGGGCGTGTTATATATGAGAGCGTCGGGATATCTGGTCCCCCACCGCAGGTGAAGTCATACACAACGTGCGTGCGTATCAAGTATGATATACAGAACCGGCCAGTCAATCTGTTCGAAAAGGCAAGTCAAACGATCAAAGCAACACAAAGACCCGATAAGATAACAACACACCATCTAATCAAGCTCTTTGACCCACAGAACCCAGGTGAGCCGGCTCGGACTCCTTCCTGCGCTTTTAGCCCTTTGACTCTCTTTCATCACCACCCGTATAAAGACCCGACGCGAATCCACCCATGGCTCCCCAACACCTCGACGATGCCATCCCACACCCACATCCACCACCACGGCATCACGCACGATCCGGACTCCTGCCGCGCTTTCATGCCCGCGACGTCCTATGCCTCTTCCTCCCACACCGAGGAAATCCCATCTCCGTACGACTGGCATCATTACACCCCGCGCTCGCGCGCCTCCCCGTGTCCATCATACGCGTCATCGTCGTCTTTGTACGGCGCATACCCCACATACACCAAGACTTCTTTCGCTGCGTCGTGCTACTACGACGAGTTGTTGTCGGAGGCAGAAGCAGAGGAGGAGGATGGAGAGGAGGAGCCGCAGCAGGCGTACAAGCCGGCGGAGTTGTCGATGAAAGAGACGGTGCGGCGGCAGTTGCAGACGGTGTCGTTCACGGTCGGGATCAAGGTGTTTCGCGCGCGCAGGAGGCTGAGGCGCGTCCTGCATCGCAGGCACGGTGCACTGGCATAATCCCTCGTCATCCCATACCCGACATTGCTCCCCCAGCGACATGCAGTATATCCCAGCATCGCACTCGTCCGAGTTATACCCATCAAAAACGTCGCATTTCGTTCTTCCGTTCCTCGTCAACTGTTGTATCATGTATCACCACACACATTCATATTATGTAGTCAAATATCCATACCACATACCTCATTGTCCTGAATACCCATCCGTTGCGCTTTTAGATAAAGCATATCTTGCAAGCGAAACCTGATGAAATGTTAATGTCAGTAACAGTACTAAGGACACTCAAGCAGGAAGAGTACTTACCAAGGGAAAGAAATATGCATTGTCCAGGCGCCAAGTGTACACGAGTTTCAAATGAGCTTTTCCAAAGGGTGGAATTGGGATAAGACGACCCAATACCGACGTGTCATGGAAGGAAGGGAATCGCGCTGCTGCATGGCGCTTGATGGTGAGTGACTAGCAAAGCGCAATAAGACAAGTCGGCTCACGCTCAAGGCGCGGTGGTGACGGTACGGAGGAAAGAGCCAACAAGATCACGGGACGAGCCACGTCCGAAAAGGGAACGCAGATCGCGTCGGCCCGAGTGTGGCGTCACCTCCCTCATGTCCAACGTGTCAACGCGCGCGCGGCAGCCTAGCTCATTTGGAAACTTCGCCTCCCTTACCTCTTACAAGACCAACTTCGACCATATTTATGAACTTTGAAGCCCTTAGTAGGCCTCAGTTCGAGCCGTCACTGAATTTCACTGTCTTGTTAGGATCGTCACCGCGGCCGCTGGACCACAAGCATGTTTCATATCTTGAACTTCATGTTCGTCTATTGGATTATCTCTTTCTCAACGCGCGATCCTCCGCGACTTGGGTGAGGTTCCGTCGAACCCACTTGTTCATCTTAGCCTGCCCTGGTAGCATTTGTTGCCGGGATGTGAGGTGAATATACTCGTTCGGCGCAGACACCCTTTCAAGTTGGCGCTCCAATGACTCACTTCCTCACTAATAGTAATGGGACGGCACTAACGTTCAGTTATGAGTTATCTACGAGCCTGTCTCGTCCCGATACCGCGTTGATCGACGTTCCAAAAGAAATCTACCTCTACCTACGCTTCTGAATCGGAACCTGATGAAACTGTGGTAGTACCCAGAATTGAATTCTGAAGCCACTTTTGCCCAGACGGGCTGGGATCAATGCGCTGTGCAGCAACCTGTGCATGCATTCGCCTCGTTCACTCCCCTTTGCCGCACATTCTTTCTACATATATAGATTTTCTCCGTTCTCGTATTCCAGTCAGTGCATCAAGGACATCGCCTCCCAACAGTAATTAAACAGAGCTTCTCTGATTGGTCCGCTCCACGACCATATATAGCCCGATGACTGGGGAGGTACACGAACCCTGACATGTGTCGGCGCTGACGCTACATAATGCAACCCCCATCCACTGAGGACGCCCGCAATGCTGCTCCCTCCCTCCCTCCTAGCCAGTGTACTAGACGCAGAATCTCGGGTTCAGGATGAACCCACCGCGATATCAAGCCGTCGCTGGACGGTGATGGGCCTCATATTTGTGCTCTCCCTGTTTGGTATGTCTCATTATCACTGTTGGAGGCGGTGGCGCATGCTGACGGGCGTCCAGCGGTATCATTCCCCGGAATATCAAAGAAATCGACGTACCTTCCCATACCGAAGGTCGTATTCTTCATCGGGAAGCATTTTGGCACAGGTATGATCATTTCCTAACATGTTGGGTGGCAAGCTGTCTGACCACAGCTAGGTGTTATACTGTCCACCGCATTTTGTCATCTACTTCAGGACTCTTTCGCGGCGCTGACTAGCCCGGAAGTGTCGCAAGAATACGGATCTATGGTAGGGAAGCAATGCGGCTTGATAATGTGCGTGCATATCCCCGCCACTGAGCAATGCTGACTGCGTTGTTATTGTTATGCAGACTTGCTAGCATGCTGTTGATCTTTCTTGTTGAATGTACGTTGGTTATTATCACTTGATTCGTGCGTACAGCGTACTAAACCCCAGAATAGATATATCGACATCATATGTCGACCATCTGCATGCAGAACCTTCTGCGCCATCATCTCCAGCGCCTACTCTACGGCGCTTACCATCCGTTCCCAATCTCCATCATCACTGCCTCACTGATTCCCCACTGCCGACGCCTCTAAGTGAGGTGACGCCCTTGCTGACGGATACGACACACCCCATGTCATCAGCGCCTGCTACGATACGACATCCACCCCAACATTATCTTTCTTCGTTGATGCTGAACTCGCCAAGGCATTCACGGAGTAGCGAGTCCTTCTATGTAATAAACGATCTTGTGCACCATGTTAACAATGGTGAATATCAGCTTATCGGCGGTCGGGGCGGGTGTGTATGTGTATGTGTGTGTCCAGCCGGCGGGGAGAACGGACAATCGCGCACAAAACCCGGCGCCGTCGCTATCCCCATGCACGAAGATCCATCTGAAGAAGAGCCGCCCCGCATTGGTCGGAAACGCCAGGTCGTCGGTATCCTCGTGAGTGCCTCTCTCCCGTTCCACAGCCGTTATTCAATATA